CAGATGTGTTCTTTCAAAAGCAATGAGTTCTCCTCGTAGTTCATCATAGGATAATCTGTTTAGGTTTTGAGATTCTAGTATGACTACTTTGGTCTGCCAAGTGGTTGGCAGACTTCTGAGAATTTTTCTTACTTGATCACCACTGGTGTAGGGTTTGCCAAATGCCTTTAAGTCGCTAATTATTTTGCTAAACCTGGCAAATATCTCTTCAATGGATTCTCCTTCTTTCATTGAGAAGAGTTCATAATCATGAACTAACATGTTGATGTGTGTTTCCTTTACTTTGCTGATTCCCTCATAGGTGACCTCAAGTTTTTCCCACATCTCTTTGGCTGTGTCACAACTCGATATTTTCTCGTATTCTTCACCACTTATAGCATTATGAAGCAGGTTTCTTGCCTTGTTATTCACTTGTACCGCTTCCAGTTGCTCTTTTGAGTATGAATCCATATCATCAGGATCAGCAAGTGGTGGAGTGCTAGCCGGTAGGGGATAGTTTCCCTTTTTGATGACTCTCCAGACTTTGACATCGTAAGTTTTAGCAAAGATTTCCATTCGTACTTTCCAGTGAGAGAAATGTTATCCATTGAAGTATGGTGGTCTAACTTGTGAAGTTCCTTCCTGAAAAAGAGCTCCTATGATAACCTGATTTGCCATGATCTTTTCTCACAAGCTGTTAAGCAAAAGTAAAATGTGAGCCAGACTCTAATACCAATTGAAAGTACAAGAGGGGGGAGGTGAATTGTAACTCTTTTAAAAATAATTGATTATCAGTTGACTTATTACTTGAGTAGTCGACTAGATATAATAAATTGACAGATATAATAACAGGAAGTAAATTGCAGAAAGTAATTGCAGAAATTAAAGACACCAGGATTTTTATACTGGTTCGGATTCAATGTGAATCCTAGTCCAGTCCTCCTGGGTTACAAGAGAGTTCTCTTTAGTAAATGAGTTTCTTCCGAGTACAGTTGTAGTGAGTTTCACTTAGTTTCTCTAGCACTCGTTTTTGATACAATGCCCCACTAGTGTTATGCTCTCTTTCTTTCCCTGACTTGTTACACAGCAGATCCTAGTGAACTACAATGCTTGTTTGCAGTAGAATAAAGAGAGTGATTTTGGTTTGATCAAAGTATAAACACTAGGGTTTACAACGAGGTATAAATACTTTGATGAATGGTAGAGGCTTGACAACCCAAGAGATTTGATCCCTGGAAAGAATTGTTTCTTTCCAAGAATAAGGAATGAGCCGTTGCTTCTCTTGATTGCTTTCCTTCAGCAGAGATACGAATGAAGATTGCTCCTTGATTGTTGGTTCTTCCAAATGCGGTCGCGTACCAAATCTCCTCGTATCTTTCAATCTTCCGTGATTTTGCCCTTGATTTGTGCCTTTACTCAAGACTTATTTGATTCTTTCCAACTTAGCTAATCGTTGTTATTGCTACTTGATTTGTTGATTAGATTCCGCCCATATTTGCGAGACCTTTCCAGATTTGCCGATTGTATGCTAATTGATTTCTTTCCTTATACATCATGAACCACTCCAGCAGTCTTCTTTATTTTTTGTAATTGATTTCCTGCACATATATATTATTTGCATCATTAAAACAAGATCTAACATTAAATTCGCGAGAATTCAAAAGTGGATGGACCGAACTTCAGATTTAAATATTAAAGGTTAAGTATGCTTATTATAGTACAAGGATTAAATTAAAATTTGTTGTAACAGAAGTACCGAAAAATGAGATTTCTCTTCTATTGACCACTAATTATTAAACTAATTGATAATGTCCATCGTCCACCCTTTATGGTTATTTGATATTTTAACCATATAAAGTGAATTTGGTAACTATTAACGGGTTATAATTTATATTGAGCGACACGGATTTTGAGCACAGTAAAAAGAAGTAGCCACTGCTATTCCCTTATTAATAATAAATATAACAAGGGACTGGGGTGGACCCATGAGAAATGGTAGTCCTAATTAACGGGTTAAACCTCGAGAGAGTAATCACCCTACTTGAACCCTAGTTGCTTGGTCTAATTGGCCTACCCAATTGGTCTCGAGAAAGTCAATTGGACAAAATCGCTCTCTCTACCGAGAGGTGTGAGAGTGGGTATAATTGTGCAACGGTTATAACATTGATCCCAAATATGTCAATCTATTATTAATAGTCTCTACCCGTTAGTTAACCATCTAGGTGATGCCACGACCCTAGTGCCTTTCTCTATAGTAATCACAACTTAGAACATATCCCTTCAGCATAAATTAGCTTAAATTTGTAGTTGATAATAGTAGTTATTAAACAAAAACCCCAAAAACTCTTAGAAGTACAATTAGGAGCAAGCACGCATTCCTAGTTTGAACAAATACGCAACTCCATTCCAAGCTCCCTGTGGAAATTGACCCCGATACCACTATTCGGGTAAAAGTCTTAGCGCCCGCTCTTCCTACCGTTGTGTGAGGTTGACTTTGCTGCGATCATTTACTTTAAAGAAAATACATATCAAGCCAATATATAGTAGTTCTGAAATTCTTCAAACTTACAGGGTCTTACATCCTTATCTTCATGTATAACTTTAATCCCTTCCAACTCATATGTTATTACTTCGACGAATCCTAACGTTAAAGTACGGGATGTAACAAACCTAACGTAATTTTGCTATTTTTTAAAATCTAATATATAGTCTTATTACGTTTTATCTGGTTTTTCGTTAACTTGTAACTTTATTTAATATCATTATCAACTACTATTCTTTATTATAACATAGATAAATATATAGTTTTTTATCATAAAATAAATATTTATTTTGTTTTAAAAACATTTCTTGAAAATTTTAAATTTTACTAATATTTTTAAGTTTTGTATATTTACGTTATTTTATTTTCTAAACTTATGATTTATAAATATTCTCACATTATCCCTAATTTTTTTTATTATTCAATATTTTTAGTTTTTAATTTTATCTATTAGGCTCGAGTTACGTAGACTTATCCATATTATGACTTTTCTTACCATAATATAAAAAACTTTCTCATCTCAAATTTAATTAGTTTTACCCTTTTTTTCTATGATAAAAAATCTGAATTTTATTTTTTCTCTATTTAGTCTTTATTTTTGTAATAGATTATTCAATTCCTAATATTATTACATTATCATTTGAATTTTTATTAGCTTGTTTGAATTTAATATCTATTTCTACCGCACTCATTCTAATATAATATAGATAAAAATAGCTTTTTCATCTCAAATTCAAATAATTTTTATCATTTTATTTTCTGAATTGGACCGCATTTTCAAAAATATATGTTATGCTTTCAAACTTAAATTAACTGCACTCAATTCAAATATTAATCACACAAAAATATTTTTCTTAATTGTTTAAACACATTATATCTAAATATTATAGTAATATTTATGTATAAAATATTTGTTTGCCCGATTTATCAGTATTAATATGAGTTTATTATTCTTGTTATTACAATATTTTTTATTGATTATTTAATTTTTCTCCTACCTGATAAATAATTTGTATAATTTATGTAATATCTTATTTGCTGCTTGAATGTATTTAATTTTTAAATTGAATAAATATGTAATATCTTAAGAAAATTTTGGTTTTATTTTATATTTAACTTACTCCAAAATATAAATAGTCATAGGTTATCTCAATTCACTTATTTGTATATTTTTTTTATTTTTTTCTATTATATTTTTAATTAATTGTTTACCTCCATATTTCTAGCTAATATAGAAAAAAATCTATGAGTAGATCAATATATATAAATATAGATATAGATATAGATATAGATACAAATATAAATATAAATATAAATATTGTCTAAGATCTATTTAGATTATGTATAAGATCCATTAAACTACTTGCATTAATTATGTTTTCATTTGAATTTTAAATTTTTAATGTTGTCTTAAAATTGCCAAGTGGCTTCATTTTAAATTGTCACTTGGCTTAACCACATGGCTTTATTTTTATTTATGTGATAAAAATAAATAAACTTTCAAAAAAAATAGTACTCCCTCTATTGCATTTTAAGTGTAATGTTTTAGCATGTGTACTAAAATATTTACTATTGGACACTAGTATTTAAAAATGAGTATTACTAATCAATTTTGGACTGAAAAACAATTAATTAACTCTTTCTTCTTCCCTGTTCTTTTACCGCGTGTCCGAGTAGACTCCTTAGTCTCTTAGACTCCTAGTCGCTCCCTTGTTCTTACCTTTAAATTCTTAAATTCTTGTCTGTTTTTTGATTTAAAACCAAGTCCAACAACACTTTTTTTGAACAGAAAAAGTGAAGAAGGAGAAAAAAGATGAAACAAGCTCCGTTTCTCTTTCCAGATGGCAACAGTTCCTCTTGTGCTCTTTTGGGATTATCTTTGCGTATCGTGCTAATGAGGCAAGTTTTATGATTCTTTCCAAGTTGAGGTTTTGGTTTTGATTTATTTTCCTTTGCATGCTTAAATGTTATGATTTGGGCTTAATTTTTTGATTTCATGTTTAAGTTCTTGTATCTTTTCAGTTTAGAATTGATGAGGACGATTCTCAGTATTCTTATATGTTTAATGAGGGATCTGTCTCTGAAAATTTAGACTTGAATGCACCAAGTTACTATATATAATGTGCATATCATAATCACTGATAATTACTTCTACTTCCATAATTATTCTTATTGTCTAATGTTCTAAAATTCTTTCGGAAACCGCCTCTCTATCTTCCGGGACAGGGGTAAGTTCCGTGTACACACTCCTCTCCCAAGACCCGACACGTGGGATTATACTGGGTTATTGTTGTTTGTTGTTGTCTAATGTTCTAAAATGTTAAATTTTTTGTTGTTGTTCCACTATCTAGAAGTGGAGTATTCCTTTGTTAGATAAAGAAATTGATGTTTGCCAACTTTTGGCTGTATTTCTGATTGAAGGGCACTT